TCTCTCTCTCTCTCTCTCTCTCTCTCTCTCTCTCTCCCCACCCCCAAGAGCTCTTGGGGGCAAAGAGATAGAGAAACCCTGGGAACAAGGTTGGGGTTGCCATCTGAGATGACACATTCTTTTGATATTATTATTACCTGGCAACAAATGTGATGTAACTTTTGGTCTTGGCCAGTTCTAAGACTCGACAAACCCTAAATAACAAACTCTCTTTACGCCATTTATTACTGTGTGGTTTTTGCATTCATCTACTACAAACATTTGAACATAACTCTCTAGGAACTGCAACATTAATCCAGCAAAAACTGCTTACCAAATTAATCTTTTTAAATTCATAACTGACCTTTTTCCCTCCTTGGTAGCTAAAAACAAGCTGTGTTGTTCGAGATTCCTTCTCAAATAGCTTCAAGTCTGTCAGAAAAACATTCAAGTCACAGTGAGAAAAATTATGAAATACAAAAAAGGTTTTTTAATTTTTAATTATGTCCTTCCAGAATGGGGTGTCTCTAAAAAAAAACTGCATATCTTCTAGCCAAACAAGATCCTGAATAGGGACCTTTACAGAAAGATTGATTACCAAAGCATTGGAATGAAAATCAAACACCTGTAGATGAATCTGATGGGTGGGCCACATACTTAAGAACAGATCAGGCTTATATCACTAAGGTTGCCCTGCTTTGGACATCAGCTTGCAGAAGGAAACCTGGCCAGCTCACAAAAATTATCTGGCATGAAACTGTCACAGCCCAGCTCAGTAAGGTAAAATTTAATTGGGACAAGGCACAACTGTCTGTGTGTAGATGTAACCCAGTCCTTCCCACTCCTGGCTACATGTAAGGTAGGCACAACATGCAGTGCAACACAGAGCTAAATGGAGAGATATTGTTGTTGCCTGATGTCTCACAGGGGACAAAGAAGATCAAGGCATGGCTTGCACTGTCGACTTTTTTTTGTTTTTGTTGCCTCATAAATTCTCACACAAGTTTGTCGGAGCATTTACCCCCAGAGGGTTACTGGGGCTGCAAAACTGTGACATAAAAGATATATGATTTGCTGCAAGTCATTTGCGAGACTGTCATGTCTGATCGCAACATAAGGGTTACACATGTGGCGAACATGTGATGATGGAATTTATGTCCAATGTAAACATCGATCCTGTTAGTGCGACCGCTGCCTAAGTAAGAAAAGTTGACCCTGCACCATGCAAGGTCAATATATACAAAATTACAGTAAGGATACAAAACGTGTCACATTAATTGCAGAAAGAACATTTTACCAAGTTGGAAAGTCAGTAAATATATAATCCACCAGCGAAACAAACCAAGTGCCTATACTAACTGACATGCAAGTACAGAAAATTGTGGGTGTTCAGATACAGCGATCAAATTACAGGTACAAGCAGTTCAGGAATTTTGAAATCTGTTCACTTAGTACTTTGACCTGTAACTGTAACTACTAAAACAGTATTTACGATGGCAATGGTATAAATTACCTACATGAAGCAATAAGATCATCATAATTCACAGCTTGAGCTATATAACCTGGGTAATGGGCAACTTAAACAAACAAAACGTTGTTTACAAAATTTCCAACACAAACAAACAGCTGAGTGTAGCAGTTACTGCTTGGATGCTTGTGGTGGCAGTAGTAGTTGATATTTTATTGAATATTTCTCTAACTTACCGGGTATATTGAATGGAGGAATAGCTGATGCAGAGGAACGATTTAACGCCTCATTATTTTCATCGCTTTGTGAGCTCTCATGAACAACTTTATCTTTCATTGGTTCCAGGAAGACTCCCGCGTCTGCTCAATTGTAAAATTCTGTTCAAACCTTCAAGCTCAATGCAGTAGTTTGCAACACAGAGGGACAGCTGTTTAAGAGTAAAACGATGCCACTGTTAATGGATTTATTATGAGGTCAAGTACGCATACTTTAAACATACCACGCTTTAAAATATTTACAGTGCCCCCAAAAAACACAAAATCTCTCACTCTAACAATCCATCGTGATCCCTTCAACCGTGTTACATGTTCGTATTTCCTAGCTCGATTTTCAGTGCCTATCTCCCACAGATTCTTCTGACTGTGGCACAACAGGATCGTTGGTCTTTCTACTCAGTAAAACCAGTCATCGTGGCTGATCTTGACTTTCACGAACTTCATTTAGTTCCACAATTTGAACACAGTTTACAGCATCAGCGAATCGCCGAGGTGACGAGTCCAATTCGTTCCAGGCTCCTCTCTTCCGGAATCCCAAAGCGCCAACAGGGGCTCTGTTATCGACGGCTTTGACTTATTCGGCGTCTAGGCTGATCTTTATGTTGTTTTCATACACACATTTATGGCCCATCATGACAGATTATAACAGGACAGAGACCGCAAATCTTATGGATTTAAAAATATCCCTCTAGACCAATATACAGCCCACCCCACCCCCAAAGTACCCAAGACATTGGGGCTAAATTTAGGGCACGACTTGTTGAGACCACCATTAAATAATCGTATCAGACAGAAAAGTGGCTTGGTGGTGTGCTTATGTATGGGTGCTTTAAATTACAGCCAAGACACAGTTTTGGTTCCACGTGATTCTGGATTGAATTGAATTATTACGCGCTCTTATTACGTTATTTTAAACTCCTAGTATAGTTCCACTGTTTAAGGAGTATACTTATTAAAGAT